AATGTAGACCGCATGCACGGTGTCTTTTGCATGACCTACCCCCACGAAAATCATATTGCGCATTGGACAAGACATTGTGAATTCCACAATATGTCATCAGTTCCTTTTTGCTGATCTTCTCCCTTATCTTGCAGCATATTGAGGTCAGATTCACGGGTCGTATTTTTTTCGGTAGTGTCACACTACTGCTTTTGCAAAGCAGTGTAATTTGCGCTGTTTTCCAATCGTTCGAACGATTGCTGACACATCATGGATAACGGTTTAACTAGCTCTCTAGCAGGTTCACGGAGCAATTTCGCAGGAATCTCATCTGGACCAGGAGATTTACATGCCTTCAAGCTTTTTAGTTCTTGAAAAATCGTTTCTTTTCCAAACAGAATGTTCTCAATAATTGGCGTTCCCGCGCTCTCGTCATCAGTTTTTGATGAAGGCGTTTTCTGTGGTGAAAACCGACCTAGAGAACTCAGAAAAATGTTCGGCTTTCCTTTTACAGTCAGAGATCTCAAGATCCTCATGATTTTTCATAACAGGAGTCGAGTTCCTGTTATGTGTGCATTCCCTTAAGCAGCTGTATAGCGACTTCGGATTTTTGACAGCTTGATAAAACAAATCACTCTCAATATCCTGTTGTCTTTTGAAAACTAACTTTTTACCTTGATGCGCTGGATTTTTTATTCTTCGAATGCTTCGTTACGGTTTGTTGTGCAAAATGTCTTTCAAAGCTTTCCTTTCTTATTGATCTATCTTTTTAGATTTCTTCTCCGCCTTGAGTCTGGTTGAATATTTTGTGCATTGATTGCGGACATTGCATTTCTGGTATATGTGAACGACTGCCTTGACTGCCTCATCTGTGAAAAAGTCATTTTTGCAGACGATCTAAAGATTTGGAGGTCAATCAAAAGCTCGGAGGATGGACAGACTTTACAAAATGACTTGGATCGCTTGTAAAATTGGTGTAAAAAGTGGCTACTGCAGTTCAATTTCAAAAAATGTCAAGCCATCCACTTACGGTCTAGTCGCAAAAAAGATGCTACCATTTGAGTATGACTACTTGATCGGAGGTTGCCAACTCGGCCAAGTGAACGAACTACGGGATCGAGGTGTATGTATGACGCCCAACCTCAAACCATCAACTCACTGGGCTAAAACCGCACAGAAAGCCATGGGTATCCTAAGAGCGATAAATAATAAATACATAAATTGTATATTTAAGGCCCAAGGGGCCCTTTCATTACAAA